GGGGGAGATTTTATTCAAAGTGTGTCAAATCGAAGGAATACTTAAACTTTTGAACATTATTTTTATTCATTCAGTACGTATTGTATCAACGCGAGGAAAAATGATTCTCTTTCAAGTGGAAAAAACAGAAGACACGACTTGATTGAAAATAATCTAATTATTTCGACCTCACTTTTATTGAATAAAAAGACCTCCTGCTGGTTTAACCTCCGCAGTCTTCAGTTGACGTATCAAATAAGAAGAATTTTTCATAATCTTAATGCTTTTTTAACTTTTAAAAATGGAAAACGTTGCAGTAACGACCAATCCATTTTTAAAATAACTCTAGATTGTACACACATAACTCGGGGTTATGCTTGAATTTTCTACAACGCAATTGAAATAAGGATAAATGGATTTATATATATAAAAAAAGAACAAGACAGAGGAAAAAAAAAAATACCATCCTGATTTCGAGCGTATTCGAGCGGGTCCTCATTACTTCATCCCCTTCTCAATCCATTTAATAATAATGTGTATACATGTCCGCCCACTTTATTTATTTTTGTGTAGTATGTGTCCTCAATTCGACAAAAAAAAAACCCCACAGATTCGTTTATTTCTCTCAATTTTATACCCCGAATCGTGAGTTAATTGTCATTCACTCCTTCAGTTAATTCTCTTCGTGTTGCTCTAATTACCAGCGGTCCAGTAGTTTGAACTGTAGCCAGGCTTAGCCTGCGCCTTGTTCTGGGAACTAGCGTTCGATCTCTGTCCAGAACTGCTACCACCGTCCTGATGAAGTGGCTGATGCAGCTGGTGTGGCATCGTGGAGATGAATAAATGTGGACCACCATAACCACCCGGTATACCAGCACTCTGACTACCCGTCAATCCAAATGGTGGAGGCGTTGCCGAATGGAAAGCCTGTTTGTCATACGACTGATACCAGACAACAGAGGACAAAAATGAAAACATTATTAAAACTCTCAATCTCTTTAATCTAATATCAATAGCGAAGAGTAACAAGTAGCAGTTCGAGGGAAAATTATTAGGGAAATATCTCGGAATCTAAGAAAGATGGTATAATTTTCTCAGGACGTCTTTTACAGAATGGAATGAGAGCTATAGAAAAGGCATTTACAAAAATCTCGCTATCTCTCTTAGATTGAAAAATATTTATCGAGAACCTAGGGCCCAACTGAATAGACTTGTTATTCTAAATGTTCTCTTTACTACATTTGATGGAATTTAATGGATAGCACTCACATTGACTTTACTCAGTGCCACGTGACTTTTGGCGTACATATTGGCGCCAATATCAGTAGCAGAAGACGCCCCAGAGTTAGTATTCCCTGTGGACGATCCAGTCTTTCCAGTTTGAGTCCCAGTGTAACCACTGCCAGCCCCCTTGTAATCAGCTGTTGGTCCGGTATTGGCGAGTGTATCGTAGCTTCCTCCACCTCCATATCCAGAGCCATAGCTACCTGGTTTGGCATTGTAAGCCGCACTGTTCGTTCCAGCATTTCCGGCAGTAGCTATCTGCTGCAATTCATCACAAAGGGTCAAATTGAGATCATTTTCAATGACATTCAATACAATTTTCCATGAATAACTCTTAATCTACCGAAGATTGCGAGAGATAACTCACATAAGAACAGATTCCCTAATTTTTATTATGGTTTATTACTAGATATTGTTTTTAATTATCGATTCATCTCGAAAACCAATTTCCAACAAAAAAAGGTCTTCTCATATCTCTCCCGACATATTTTAAATCAATCAATATTCAATAAAATTCGAAATTGGTCGTATCTGATTTTACAACTTCAGCAATGAAACAATTTTCTTATCACTGTGAAATATCTGATGAATATTTTACATTGAAGAATAAATAATTGTATACAGATTCAATATGTGAATGCATTGGAGGCTTGACTCACTGGATAAATTGGAGGTCCACCATAAGCCTGAAAACTCCCGGGCATTATTCCACCACCATATGCAAAGTACGCATAGCCTGGAGGCAGTGTTGGATTCATCATTGGCTGCTGATGCTGCGACGCGGTCTAACAATAATTAATCAATAATTAAGATTTCCGTATTAATAAGCGTGCACTTTAACTCTTTCATTCACCAGTCATGATAATATCGAATTTAACCGTGGAATTGTCGTCTTCCTACGAATCAATCTGTTGCGTAAATTTCAATTTCCTATTCATCAGTGAAATTATTTAAACCAATATCAGTTATTTGTTCATATAAATAAAATCTTCAGTTGCACTTTCTCTCATTTTTCAGTGAGCAAAAAAAAAACACCACAGAGCCAATGATTCGGGAAATTTATTTAAAAAAAAGGATTTAATAGTTACAAATTTATAAATCAAGAACTTCCTAAATGCAATAAATCATGAATGATTCATTGAATAAATGCGTAAAAATCGATTCAATATTTTTCGATAGTCTAAAATTGACAAGGAAAATAAAGTTATTTGAAATGAAAAAAATTTTCGAAAAGTTTTCAATCACTCGAACTCAATATTTTTCGTAATAATCTGAGAATAAATCTAAGATAAAATCATGAAAAAACTTTTTTATAGTTGATTAATTTTCCGCGCAAAAATGGTCTTTGATGTTTTACCCCAAAATTCATAATTACTCAATAGATCTTCAATGGAACTAAAATCGCATAGATTTGGGCTTCATAGTTATTTGCTGTATTAATTTACCTGCTGTGACATGGTAGAAGGCACAGGCGATGCGTTGCTGTCGTTCCTTGCAAACCTTCCATCGCTCATACTAGTGTAGGCACCCTGAACACCTTGAACCCCCTGAACTCCTTGAACACCGGACAGGGCGTCACTTCGTCCACCTCCAAGGCTCGTAGCTGGACCAGTCGTCTGATAGCCGAGTGCCGCGTCATAGTAACCAGTAGTTGGCTGCACGTTAGTCAGGAAGGCCAAACACAAAACTACATGCATACACTGTGTACTCCAAAATACGTAGAAGGGCTCTAACTAATGAAGAATCTATTCGACCCACAGGACAAAAGAGAGGAAAGAGAAAGAAAGAGAGGGAAAGAAAGAGAATCGTTTGCCTTCGTACAACAACACTTTACGATTAACAAAACGTATTCAATCTACTCGTCCTCTTAAAAAATAAGAAACGTTCCATATCCCAATAATAATCCCTGAGAATAATTCCAGAACCATAAGTGCTCTAAGACTACTTGCCACGTAAAAACACTGAGAATCTTAATGTGCGATAACTTATAAATCATTTTATCGAACAAATATGACCATTCGAGCTGCTACCAAGCACCACTTCCATCTCAATTTCAGGTAAACCGCACATCACTAAATAATTTCATTCTCGTTGCATTCATTGAAATAATTACTTCGTAATAATCGTGCTAAAATTTTTTTTGAGGGTAATCTGACCATTAGGATTATATTCCACTGAGGAAAATAATTTGCAATTCAATACTTCTCGTATTTCTTGATTCAGCTTTAACTTTAGGCAACAATCGATTTGAGGTGAAAACAACGAAGATCGTTTTTGTAGTTGATTAAATTTCAGTGAAAAACAATTCCTTGATATTTTTTTCTGACCATCACCATTTTTTTTCATATAAATCGATGTCTGAACCAATTAAAATTCTACTTTTACGACTTCATCATTTTACTACTGGCATGATTCTAAAAGTGTGTTTGTGTTAATTATTCAAAAAAGTAGAGTTTCGCTAATCAAATAACAGCTGTAATTTTACACTTTAAAATCCGCTAATTACGGGACTTATTCAAATATTGAATACAACAATTAACCGAATGGAAAATCAAGATTGCGAAATGATTTGCATACTTTATTTGCCGGTCAGATTACCCTATCCTTATCGCAAATAATAGAAAATGTAACAGAAATATATCAAAGAGTGAGCGCATTATTTCCGCCATTAGTGAATAGCTCGTGAAAAATAATGCGTCCATCCATCTAAAGAAAAATACATATTTGTGAAGATGGGGTTGAGTTGACTAACCATGTGGGGTATTCTCTGCTGCATGAGCTGGAGATCCTCGAAACTGTACATGGGCTGTTGGAAGGCATAAGGTACACCTTGTCCCATAATATACTGATGGCCCAGCATCGGCGTCATACTGCTAGCAGCACCTGCTCCACTTCCTGTTATGCTTCCAGTCCCGCTGGCACCTGACACTGCACTGCCACTGGATGTGCTTTTTGGCACTGCTGGAGAGGCAGATTGTTATTTATTGTTACTAGATTGATAGTAATCGACAATGAAGAAGTAAAACATCAGACTCATTCCACAGTGGAAAAATCATGCCATCTCTATTACATTCATAAATATTCCTCAAAGATTCGTCTGGGGAACAAGCGGACTGAATATTGTTATTTTTTATCTCCTTCTCAGTCATTTGTATTAGTCATAAAACTTTCGCTTGACAAATATTTTTTAAGACAGTTATTTTACAAAATATTTATCAAGCGAAAATTTAATTGATGACTGACTATTGATTAATTTATAACATGAAATCGCCCTCGATTTCGCTCTCGAAATTTCGAAAAGACTGGGAAATAAATTCTTCAAATCACTCACCATTTGAACTAGTCACTTTAGTTTGTGAGCTATTGACAGAGGCTGATGAAAGACCCAAGGATGGCGCACTGGTTGTCGCCAGGGACCCACTGCTCGTCGTTGCATTGTTATCATACTGCGAATCCTTGCTCGAGCCACTGTTCAATTTTGTGTGATTGTGTGAAGTCGCTTGGGGCTGAGTACTGTAATTTCCGTAACCACCGCCGTATACCTGCGACCACAGAAATTCCGCGCATCATTGTTATTACTTCGCACTCGTGAATAATAAATTTTTTTTATGTATTTATATATCCGTTGCAAGCCTACACTTCTTTTCCATTTATTTTAATTATCGTTTTTTTCTCGTAGATACGTGAAGAAATACTGCGAATTATAGGTTGTCAGCTCGATAACGGCAAGCAATAATAACAAAAACTAAAAGCGTGGTTTTTAAATATTGTCTAAATATTTTCTATTTGTATTTGAATTCTTGAATTGAATGACAATATTTCAATACAAACAGCATTTTCTTGTTAAACTGTCGATTTCTCGAAACTATGAATACCGCGTATACGAAAAAAGAACTTTTGTAACAAAATTGGTAAATGCCCAATAGAAGGAAAATCTATAATAAAATAAATTTGATGAGTCAATAACTTTATCAGAGCCCGGTAAAAAGAGATTAATGGAATTAGAAAATCGAGAGAGAGAATAAAAAAAAACGTAAACTCACAGAATGTGCACTTTGATAAGCACTGCTGCTACCCTGAGTGATCGGTGAAGTGAAAGTAGTACCAGACGTTTGATAGGCCTGTGGAGTGCTCTGAAAGCTCGAAGAGCTCTGATAGCTAGTCCCCTGATAACTGTTATTGGATCCAGCATTAGTAGATTGCGGTGTAGATTGATACTGCCCAGTAGTTGTAGGTACAAAGCTGTTGGACTGGTACACCTGATTGGAGCTAGCGGCCTGATTATATCCAGAAGCACTCGATGATGACGGAGCAGCTGGTGAAGCCTGACTGAATGTCGATGGATTGGACTGAGGATACGCCGAAGTTCCACTGTAGCCAGACTGCGTTGTTGTGGTGGTGTAATTATTGCTTCCACCAGTTGAAGATGGATAAGACTGCGCAGACTGAGTACCACTGGACGAGTAATTATAACTCGGTGGATTCGATGACTGATAAGAATTCTTCTGTGAATACGTCGTGGTAGCAGATCCACTGTTGCCATACCCAACACTTGGATTATTCGGCGATGGAACAATCTGGGACGATGCATTATAACTGCTCTGTTGTGCTGTATCAATGTCCAGTGAATTGGAATTAGTTGTTGAATTAACACCGGACGATGTAACACTGGAAGTAACATCAATCCCCGAGATACTAGTAGCTGACGAGTTATACTTATCAGTGGTTGTGCTGTCAATATTCCCAGTATCACTTCCAAACTCCATATTTCCAAATTGCACGTCTAGGAAGTCTATACTACTATTAACATCCCCAGGCATTTCAACAGCACTCGATGGAATTTTCGAGGGTGGAGGAACACGTGGCCGTTGTTTAGCTGGCCTCTGAGATTGGCTGGTTATTCCGATTGAGGTGAATGCAGAGGGGGTTTTGTAGTTTTCAGATGACTGTTGAGTCAATTGGGTGAGATACTGGCTTTGGGCAGCAGTGAGAACACCACCGCCCACAGTGCTAGCTTGGGACATCTGTAATTGGGGCATTCCTAGGACTTGTGGTTGTTGCTGTTGTGCCTGGCTCTGGGGCTGGAGGAGAGGGGCCTGTTGCTGATGAAGTGGTGTTTCTGTGAGCTTGGGCTCCTCCGTGATGCCAAGGTTGGGTTGCTGAATGGATTGAGAAACCAGAGGCTGCTCCACTTTGATCTCCTCAGTGGGATGATCACCCATTGCTGTACTGGGGGTGAAAACCTTGGTGTCAGCAAGGGAGCCAGTGTACTCTTCTGCCTCCCAGTCCTCTGATGGCTCCAGATTGCTCCAGGGATCGATCTTTGGCTCCTGGGTACTCTGCTGCTGCTCCTCACTGCCTGTCCAGGTGTCAATTGGACGGTTGAAACTGTGGGCAGCTGAGGATGATGCCGAATCCCCTCGGTTGGCAAAGGTACGTGGCCCGAGGCCTCGTCCACCACCACGACCACCACGACCTGATCTTCCTGGTCCACCTCTACCACCTCGTCTACCACCACTGTAACCACCCTCACGCACATTATCCTCCATGTTGCGCTCGTTCTCCTTGTTCTCACGTCCACGCCAGCCACGATTGTCGTGATTGGCACGACCCCTCAGGCGTGGAGGACCTCCACCTCGCTGATTACGCCGCTCCTCCCAGTCAGTTGTCTCCTCGTGATCGGTTGGCTGATCCGTCGTGGGCTTTGAACCACCTGGCTGGCGGGCTTTCTTCTTCTTCACTTCCCACTCCGCCGACACACCCTCCAGCAGGTCATTCACAGCACGATCAAAGTCCCAGTCACTGTCGTGGAGGGCCATTATCACTTGGTCCTCCGTACGACGAGTTACCTCCATCGCTTGCTTTATCCGTTCTTTCACCGCTGGATCCTCGCTCACCCCCGATCGAGTGTCGATTATTTGTGCATGCTTCGATTGATCCTTTGACTGGGGACAATTGTAGAGGTTTAGGGGTACAACGTCATGCTTTTCTGTTGTTAAAGTTTTCAATTGGTAGGGCGTGAAAAATTTTTGAATTCCCTTTTAATAGATGCATTATTGAAATTAGTTGAACCTACGGATTTTGGAGAAAAAAATGTTGACAAACTGCAATTGCAATCGCAATCCCTAAGGATTTTTACATATATATTCGAAAGAATTTTATTGCCCCTTCAATTTTTGGAAAAACTGATGTTTACAGGAGAAGTGTCTCGATTTATAAATGATTCACGACGAATGACGTTTAAAGTCACAGAAGATGTAAAACTATCAGCGTTACATCCTTAGTCAACAGTTTGACGGATATTTAAAGAGATAGTTCGAATCGAGTAAAACTGTCATTGATTAAAATGTAAAACTACAATTTACAATTCTTCGCACATTGATTTTGAGAAAATTGAAAAGCAAATATAACCCCAAAACAGAGAAATCTTAATCCACAATGAAACAGCCAATATTTACCTGTCCTTTGTCATGCTTAGCAGTGTCTGTGATCTTCGAATGATGCTGATCTGATTTACCATGTTGCTGAGATGATTTACTCTTGTTGGAGCCTCTCCCACCGGAGGACACCAACGATTTGTTGTCGGAACTCATGATTCAAGTTTATTTCCGCCGGTCAGGTTGTGACGAAAATGGCTATTTTCCCCTGCAGACCTTAACTAAATCACCCCCTCAGGCCTATCACACCTATGTACACTTGCTATTTACAATCTGTGAACACAAACAACATCCATAAGTCCCCTCAACTCAGTCCCCAACATGCGACACCACCTGATAATCCCCTGGTGTCCACAACAAACCGTCATCTAAAATTCCCAATAAAAATCCATCTAAGGACTGATTCCCACCCATAAACTAACAAAGAACCCCGAACCATCATCAAACTTCCAAAACTTCGAGAACCCCAAGAAATATCTATTCCAAAAAAATCTATCATTTCCACGTGGCCAATCCCCCCCAATCATCAATTTGTCATTTACCCCCCAAAACCCCCTATTAACCTTCACCCCCCGACTCCCACCCCGAAAATTTCCCTGACCATCTCACCTCAGCTGGACTGACTCTCCCCTCCGCCCCAGGCCAAAAATCCCGAAAAGAAGAAAATAAAACCTCAAAACAACCCAACGAATTACCCCCGAAACAATCAACTCGCGATGTCTCAGCTCTCGACCATGTGCACGACGGACGCCATTTGTGGGTAATATATATTTTTTCCCCAAGGAAGAAAAAAAAAGGAGAACCCATGGTGGGGATAAAGAGACAGAGACTGGAGACCTTGTCAGGCTCGAAGATTTCCAAGGCTGGCCAGCACATGAGTAAAAACATGAACAATATTATTTACCCGGGGTTGTGTACCGAGGGTCGAGCAAGCGCTAGATTATCGCCAGAAGAATGGCGGATTTGAGGCTGAATTTATTCGCACCGAACACCCACGTTTTTCCCATCCACCTCCGGTCCCCCTCGCCGTTGCTCCGATAAAACCGATATTTTTCCAACGTTATGATGGTTTTACGAGTTGCCCCCCTGGTGGAGGGGAGGGAGTTATGATTTACCTGCTCCGGCGTTGTTAACGACTAACGATTGAAAAAAGATAAATAAAAACAACGTATTTAGTCATCCCCCCGTTGTACCTCGGTTTAGTGCGCTCAAAACGCAGCTAGTGTCACGTGACCAACGTGTACCCCCGGCGTTCCCCGTCTGCCCCTTTTCCTTGTAACAATCGAGAGAGCGACGCTACACTTGGATTTTTCACTGATCATTACCCCTCCCCCCCTGTATGGATCGACAATTATTCACTCTTCACGCACCAAAATCGAGGAATAACTCGATCCCACAAGTTCTCTTCGCATCTGTACTCACGGATTATTCGTTCTCCCTTGTTTTTTTTTTAATGTATTTTTCAATTACAATCTCACCTGAAACGTCGACGACTCGGCGTTTATTGGGTGATACTTCACACCGACGAACCACAGGGGGACAACCTATTGGGGACTAGGGTCCCTAGGATTTTTCCAGTTATAATTGGGCTCCTTAGACTGGTTGCCATGTTTTCCTATTTCTCGCGGGTATTTGAATGTACATCTGTCGGGATTCTAGAATTAAGGGAGAATTAAGAAAATTCAAGTAATTTTAATTTCCATTAAGTCGAGTGTTCTACCGAAGGATTAATTCAATAAAAGGAATCGTTGGGTAATTGATATGTTTGTTTGAAACTTACTCGAAATCTGTGGCTTTTGTGATCCGCTGAACGCCACCTTGTAAATAAAAATGCCCGAATGAAAAATCCCCAGAGAATGTGACGAACATTATCACTAGGATTTTGGACGAACCTTGAGAACCTGCCTTAGAATCGGAGAATTTTTTCAATTTTCTTTTTTTTCACGGTTAGGACGAGTTTTGGTTAACCTCTGGGTGAATAGCAAGTCTCTGGAAGAGCTAGAGCCTTTGGTTGATAATCATCAATTTTGTGTCTAATTAGGAAATTTTTTGGTTGGAGTCATGCCACGATTTCCACTTCATCCAGCTTCTGGAACTGGAGTTTATACTCAATGGCATGATAAAGTCATTAGGTTGGCGCGATATGGCTGTGCAAACCGGCCGTTCTTTCATATTGTTATCATGAACGTAAGTTATGATTTGTTCAGTTCTTTGAATAATTACTGCAGTGGTAAACTGTTAATGATTTTTTGTCTGACTCACGTACCAGATTCTGAATTCCTCGTTGACCCAATTCCATTTTTTTCTGTTGACTTTATTCATTTTCTACAGGAAAACTGTTGATTAACTGAGGATTAATTATTTGATTGTGTACAGCCGAAAGTCGAGCAAAGGAAACCTCCAATAGAGCAGCTGGGAACATACGATCCCAGCCCAAATCAATTCAACGAGAAATTGGTGTCCCTCAACACTGAGAGGCTGCTGTTCTGGCTGGGGCAGAAGAATGTCACTGTCAGTGAAAATGTCGAGGAGCTCCTGGGACTGTCTGGATTTCTACCCATTCATCCTAGGACCTTCATTAAAGCCTGGAGAAGCAGAAGAAAAAATGACGAGGAAGCTGCCAAGGCTAAACTCGAGGAGGAGCAGAAGGCACAAGAGCAGACAAACTGATCATCTTGCTGACTATTTTGTAAATAGAATTATCGAATAAGGAATACTTTACAGAACTATTAATTCCTCGTCTTTTTCTGCACCTCATAATCATTGATTTTCACTTTCAAGAAAAATATACCGAAACTACAGAAAAGACTATTGATTAACCCCATTGGTATTAAAATTTAGTTAGATATTAGGCGCAGGGGAATCTGAGTAGATCAATTTAATAAAAGCAGTTGCAAGGATAATTGATATTTATTAGGAAAAATGAATAATAGAAAAAATAGAAAAAGAAAAGGGTAATTCTTCAAGATTTACTTAAATGTGGGGGCTAGAGACATCGTTACAAGTTAAATTAATGATAGGAATTTCAAATTGACGACCGCAATTATATTAAATTTAAAAAATATTCCCCAGGTGAGGCTCGAACTCACAACCCCGGCATTGCTCACGTAATTACTGTCTTATAAGTACCGTGCGCTAACCAATTGCGCCACTGGGGAGAAGTAGCCTGGAGAATATCCATTATTTCTCACTTGATGTCTACCCCCACTCTTTTTATCACAAACTTCTTCACTCGTTCTATTTGCAACTAGAAAAATAGATTTAATTGGTATCTGGAGTAGGTACATCAGTCTAGGGTTTGTAGGTGTTGACAGCGGTGCAGAGATCACCCCAGAGGCTCTCCAGCTCGTCTTTCTTCAGTCCTTTCTTGCAGAAATCCTCGAGAAGATCTTGGTTTCCTTTTATAAACTCTAGAGAAATAAAAAAAAAATGTATCGACTACATAGAGTTTTGCAAAAGATTATTCACAATTTGTCAATTGTCTATCCAGGTCAATTAATCTCGACAATTATTTATAAAATGCTCTATTGGAGTTATCTCATTTAAACAGTCAGCTAATGAATTTAATTAAGGTAACGTACCATCGTCAATTGCATCGATAACGAAACTGTGATCAATCGTTCTTGTCTTCTGGTTCAAGACCGTTGTCCATAAAAAATTGACATATTGTCTCGTTGCCGATGATGGAGAGTGAATATAAATGGTGTAGCCACCGGTTCCACACTTCTCAATCGTTATGAATTCTTGCTGATTCAATTTGTCCAGAATTTTCTGGCGGACGATGCATTGATCGTTGTATTCGCTAAAAGCTGTAAAAATATGAGAAATAATAAAATTAATAGTATGCGTTCCTTATTTCTGAAGTAAGTCAATTTGAAACAGATTAAAATTTTTTTCAAATCGTGAACGCTCACCTGACATCAAATAGGTCATTTTCTTAACTTTCGTGAACTCCGTAACCCAGGGAGTAATTTCCTGCAGATGACAGTCGACGACCTTCACGAAACGACACGTGATATCGAGGATCTCATTGTCCACTCCGTCCTGATGAGTATTCCACAATAATTTAAATTATTGGAAAACAGTTTAATAAAGAGTCTCTCACCTTCAAATCCACAGTCAAATCTAAATTAAATTTCAGAACTTTCATAATGACTTTGGAGGTGTAGTGCCATACGTTGTCTCTCAGCCACTTTTTGTCGACATCCTGAAAAGTTATTCCAGTGGCTTGTTGAGTGGCATCCACCAATCTGACTATAAATCGGTCCTCATCGCTGGATTTTTTTGGCAGGTCTTTCTGAGGGGACTCATTCGATAATCTCTCTCGAATACTGAAATTTCATCGATTTTACCTTTAATTTGCACCCCTTGTTTGTTCTCCAAGGATCAAAATGTATTTTATTCCTCAAGATAATTTTCAGCCTTCTCTTAATTTTTAAACCCGTCCAGCTATTCATTACGAATTATAGGTAATTGAAAATTCATAAAAAAACTCACTCATCATCTAAATTTAATTTCTTATGTCTATTAAGTGAGCTGTTCTGCTGAAATGTATCCCTCAATTCCAGAACTCGTTTTATCAATTCGTCCTTTTTCTCTCTCAATTTCTGCAGCTCAGCGTCGTCCTTCATCTCGGAAAACACTTCGATTGTTTACTGAATTTTTAGTTGAATGCAAAGAGCAAAGAGGATTGACTGAAGTAGAGGCTTAGTTCTGGGGGTTTGAGTGACCCCACCGGTATCGTAGTACCTCACCCCAAGGGAGAGAGAGCGCCACACGCAATGCTGGGGTGTTGAGGTATGATACAGGTAGGTATTGCCAAGCTTTGATATTGCCGACACCAAAACAAAGCGCTGTATAACGCCTTCTCCTCATGTGCGTTTCGTCCCCACAATTCAGCGATTTCTGGAGTTTACATTTGAATGCCAGTCGAGTCGTTTGATTTTTTTTCTTTCAAATTGACATAAAAAAAAGAGGTATGGCATAAAAATTATCAACAAAAGCATAAATGAACAATGGGTATATGATTATTTCAATACGAGAGATTCTTCCCCAGTATTGACTATTTTTTGATAAATCAAGTAATTAGAGTGAAACTCTTTCCACGTCACCCAAGAGGTAGAGTACTTGACGCGTTTTTTTTAACGTGGT